TAACGACAATCGTACGTAAGATAGTCGTAAGATTAAACTGCAATCGTACTACAATCTTACGTAAGATAAACGTGTGACACGGCGTGTTCTTGCGAACGTATAACGCACGCAAACGCGTGGGATCCCACATTTGCGTGCATCTGACACTCCAAACTCGATCTCTGGGGCGTACTTCTGGAGGTCGGTGGAGGGGGGGGGGGGCGCGCGAGGGGGGGGTGCGAGGGTGGGGAATATTCTGAGGAGGGCGAGGAGGGGGACAGCGAGGATAAGGACTACGGGGGAGAGGAGGAGGAGGGTAGAGGAGCTGAGGAGGAGAAGGGGGGAAAGAACGAGCAGGGAGGGGAGCGCGAGGATGAGGAGAATGACCCGCCTGATCATAACCCTCCTGACACTCAGCGTTGCGGCCCTCATCTTCCTTCGGATCCTCATCCTGATCCCCCTCCACCTGGTCCGCATGCCCCTCCTCCTCCTGATCGTCGTCACCACATCCAACTGAGTCTCATGCTTCTCCTCCCCTCGCTCTATCTCCAGCCCTGCTCCTCGTCTCCCCCCTGTCCCCCCTGTCCTCCCAGGCTTGATTTCTGCTCAACGTCGCCATCCTTTTCGCCTTATCCTCCTCCCCGATCGGGGGCCTGGCGCCGCCGTTCTGGTGAATCTCTCACCCTCCTCAAGTGCTTCAAGACCGTCATCATCTTGTCTGCCAAGCTGCCGCCCCTCGCCTCTGGGGCGCCGTTCGGCTCGGCCGATGCCCTCGGATACCTGCGGGCGGAAGCGTACGATAGGCATGGCATTGCATGTGAAGTATCATGTCTGTATGATGCACATCGCACGTGCTAAGTCCGTAAAGTCTTACGCTCATAATACGAAAGATGTCCGTAATAGAGCACGGATGTCTTACGTACTGTGTGCATACAACCAATATCAAACATACATAAATATATTCGTACGGTCATCTGACGTACGATATCCGTAATATCGTACGGATATGTTTCGTAAAATGACCGTGCTATAAAGGTAAGATGCACGATCTTACGTCGATATTACGTAAGATGTACGTAAGATATACGATCTTACGTCGATATTACGTAAGATAAACGTAACACATACGATCTTACGTCGATATTACGTAAGATAAAAAGTAAGATAACTGATATTCCCCAGGGACCCTTCGAAGGCACGCACCCTCGGGCGGGCGCCCGATGTCTCTTTCCAGGACGCGGGGGGGTGGGGGGGGGGGGGGGGAAGGCGGGAGGGAGATGAGTATCACGAAGAGGGTGAGAGTGTTGGCGCGGCGGGGATGAAGAGACGATGGGCGACGCTAAGGGGAGAATAAGGAGGAGAAGAACGAGGGTGGAATTCCGAGGGGAATCAGGAAGGGGAGAGCGATGATGAGGAGGACAAGGAGGGTGGTGGCCACGATGCGCATCGATCAACGGGAACAAGATGAGGAATCAGGCCTGAGTGGTCTCCTCCTGGCCCTCCTCCCCCTCGCCGCCCATCCTCCTGACTCACCTCCTGACCCATCGCCCTGAATCTCCTCCCGATCCCCCTCCTGGTTCCCCGTCTGACCCTCCCCCCCCCCCCCCGCCCATCGCGATCACCCTCCGCATCCTGACTGTCCCCCATCAAAGCCGTCCTCCTCCTGATTATCCTCCTGGCCCTCCTCCTCGTCATCTATGTCATCCTCAGATCGTTCCCGAGGGTACTTCCGCAGCACCTCGATGCACGCATCCCTCATGGTGGCCCACTTGCACTCCACCGTGGGGAGCAGGCGCAAGAAGAGCTCGACCTGGGAGGCGAGGCGACACGCAGGGCAGGAGTGCACGGGGGGCGGGGGGGGGGCGCAAACTCAACAATAGGGGACGACGACATTCTTCGGTGAAGCTCACTATGGGGCATGGCCGCACACGGCCTGCGGTGGGGCCCCCATGCGGGCACGGTCGCACCCGCGCGCGCGTGCTGCAAATTCTGCACACTTTCCAGCAACGACCCCCTGCACGATCCCCAGGTGCACCAGGCCATCGAATCCCCCACAGTTTTGGTCCACCAATCAGGGCAGCATTCTTCGTCAGGCTGCCAGCGCGCACCGCTTTGTCCTTTGTCAGATGGTGGTACGCGTACAAGTTGAGCGCGTCGCGCGATCCATGTGTCTCTACGTGTGAGACCAACGCTTTGCCTAGGTCCTCGTCCACAGTCGGGACGGGGACCCGCACTGGTGGCATGTGCCGCCTGGCGGCCATGTGGACGTTTGCGCCAAAATGGCTAGCCCACAATAAGCACAGGGGGGGGGACATTGAAAACCGTTTGTTTCGGGGGGAGGGGGGGGTGCAGAGGGGACTCTTAACAACTTTTAGAAGGATGGGGGGAGGGGGAGGTGGAAGAAGAGGAGGTGGAGGAGGATGGGGAGGAGGAGGAAGAAGGAGAAGGAGAAGGAGGATGAGGAGGAGGATAAGGATAAGGATAAGGATAAGGATAGGGCCAGGACTTCTGGGGCCGCGCATTGAAAGAATCAGGGCATCGCGAGTCTGAGGGAGATCTCCCCAGAGGGCCCCAAGCGCACTCCAGCATGGGCGTGAAGGCCTCCAGAATGAGGATAAGGATAAGGATAAGGATTTGAAAGAGAGGCAAACAAAGAAGGGCGGCCTTGTACTCGCATCCCCCCTGCCCTGCACCTGTCTCGGCTGATATAAATTTGCGTGGCCGCATTGGCCCACGCGCTGAGCGCTGCTGCCGAGCATGCGCTGCTCCCGCTGGGGGAGTGAGAGAAAAAAACAGGGAGAACAATGAGTATCGTTTAACCGATCCCCATCCCCAGCGGCGTGGCCTGGGCCCCACTGGCCGATTAACCCCCTCAGATGGGGATATAGGCCGTTCCCTTCGGGTTTCGAGGGGTGTATCCCCAACTTGGATGGTCATTTGGTGGGGGTCTCGAAGGGGGTGGAAATGGGGATGGGGATCGGATAAACGATACCAAAACAAGGCCTGATGAAATGAGACAAACTCTCAGCTCACTACTGCCCGATGCCCCAGCCTGCCGCCGCTGCTGCCCTTGGCGACGAGAGCCTCACATCCCTGCTCTGCGCTGCGCCAGTGTCGGCCGTAGCGGCGGCTGGGGGCACGGCCTCACCACGCAACGCCACCCCGCGGTTCTCCCAGCCCTGCACGCTCTTGCTCGGACTCGGGCATGGCGGCCTGCGCGCGGGCTGGAGGAAATCCTGCTTCTCCGTCTCCGCCGTCGCTGCCGTCGCACCCTGGGTGACGAAGGGGGCCTCGTCATAGGCGTAGCCGTGCGGGCCTTTGGTCCAGCGGGTGTAGATGTGGTCGATCTCGTCAACCTGGCGCCTCATGTAGTCGAGCTCCCACGGCATCGGTCCGTGCACCATCTTCCCGAGCTTGTCGTCCGTGATGCCGATCGCGCTCCTCACCGCGCTGATGGCGTTGTGGATGTCGCGCAGCTGCTCCTTGAGGTAGTGCTTCGCCTGGCTGCGCTCAGCTTCTTCATGCGGGTTGAGGCTCCTGCTACTCATGCGCCCAAGCGTGGTCACCACCTTCTCCCTCTGCTTGTGAAGGACGTGGAGCGCCATCTCGCTGTGCTTGGTCGCCTCCTTGAACGCCTCGGGCGTGCTCTGGAGCGTGTTGTGCGCGATCTCCAGCCTGTACGCCGCCGTGCCCATGACCTGGTCCGCCACTCCGAAGCTTCCCCTGTCGTGCGGCTTCTGCACGATCGCGGGCTGCCCGTCGAGCTCGGTCTGAGCTGCCGCTGTCTGCTGCTCCGTCGCCCCCTTCTGCTCCGCCATGGTCGCCAGCGCCGCCATTGCTGCCCTGGTCGCGAGTCCGCGAGGGAAGCAAGCCCTGGAAGCAAGTCCGCGAGGGAAGCAAGCCCTGGAAGCCCTGAAAGCTCGAGTCGTAAATGCTCGCTGGTTGCATGTCGGACTGGGTACTGTGCCTCGTTTGACCTTAGTTGACCCCGCCTAGCTGTTGTTCACCTTAGGTAATGTAGTAGTTTCCTTAGTTCCCAGAAGTTGGGGCAGTAAGGACCCGTAGTGGGGGCCTTGGTGTAGAAGTAGTACATCATACATCATACATGCATCATACATCCTACATCCTACTTCCTACATCATACATCATACATCATACATTATACATCCTACATCATTCAATCACCGTGCATCATACATCATACATCCTACAGCATGTCCCATAATGACCATCTTACGTTTTCAAAACGTAAGATAAATGTAAGATGTGATACTCTGCATGTTGAACAAGTATGATGAAAGTAAGATGGTAGATTCGGGCTGGTGCCGCGTCGGTCGCGACCGGTCGCGACCGGTCGCGACTGGTAGCCACTACCGGTCGCGACCAGTCGCGACCGGTAGCGGCTACCGCGTGGGGGCGCCGAAAACGAAACGACCGGTAGCGGCTTTCGCTACCCAAATTTTTGGGTAGCGCATGATCTGGGCACCGCCAGCGACGGCCTGCGGGGCGAGCTCGGCCACCCGCGCGCCGCGGGCTGCGGCGAGGCAGGGCGACGCGACGCCCCCCCGGCTTCGCCGCCCCGACCGTTCAGACACCAGTCGGCGCGAACACATCCTCAGCATCCTGCCGCGTCTCCCCCCTCGCGCGCCCCCCCCCGGGAGTCGCCGCGATGTCGAGGCCTATCTCGCAGCGGCGGGCGACCAGCGCGCGGCGGAGACGGCTTCTCCCCCGGCGCTTGCACATCGCGTCCGCAGTCTGGGCACAGCCTCCGACGACGCCTGGGTCGCCCTTGTCTCCCAGGAGGGCCCCCGAACAGACGACTGGAGTGACGGCGCCTGGGGGCGCGAACTGGCCTGCACCCACTTCCGTTCGCTTTGCGCCGGCGCAGGTGCCGACGGCTGAGCCCCGCCCGGCATCGCTTGGGATGGCAAGAGACGCCCGTTCGCCCGATGCGCCGCGTTGCCCGAGCGGCTCTGATAGATCGCGCCTGGAGGCTCTATGCTCAGAGGGGCGCTCCGCTCATGGGCGCCGCCCCCGCCCGCCGCGACATTCGCGCCCTGGTCGATTGGCTTGCAGGCCTCAGTCCCGATTTGCTAACGGACGACGTCCTGTCGGGCGGGGAGATGGGCGGAAACGACGCAGCCCCGGCGGCTGCGTCGTCTGGCGCGGCCACGCCCGCGCAGGCAGCCCGCGCTCGCGATCGAGCGCTCAGCCCCCGAGGGAAGACGGAACGCCTGGCCCGGCTCCAGACCCTGGCCCGGGCTGGACTTGGGGACCGGAAACCGAGGCACCACAGGCGAGCCCGGAGGCCCCTGCGGGCGACGACCCCATCCCCTCACCTACCGACGAGGAGGCCAGCTCCAAGTCCCCTCCCCGCACCGTGACCCCCTGCGCTGCTGCGCCAGCCAGCCGCGACCGCGAAAGCGCTGACGCGCGGACGCCGCTGGCGCCCCCTGACTTCCGGGCAGAACAAATGGCAGCAGCGGCCCGGCGCAGGAGACCTCGGACGGGGGGCGCGGAAAGGGGCGCGACCAAGCACGGGGCCTTCGCGACCAGGCCACGCGGCTCGCGGGCCGCGCGCGGAGCCCCAACAGCAGCAGATGGACCAGCTACGGTTCCAGCTGTAATGCCCATGATGACGGGCGTGCGTACGGGTCCAGCTGGTCAAGCTGCAAACCGCGGGAATATGGGCCCTGGGAACAGGGCCACGCAGCACGCGCGGGCCCTAGCTGCCATGCTGCTGGCATTTGGGCACGAGGAGTCTGGCGCGATGCGGCCGCCAACCCCTTCGCGCCAACCGGCTGCCGCACCCGCGACGGCAATCAGATATAGGGCGCCCCAATACCTGGTTAAGGCACAAGGTGCGGCCGAAAGCAGCCTTGACCTCATCAAAAGGATTCAATCCGAGCTCGGAGCCACATTCAACAGGGCCTGGCACAGTTGGACCGAGTGCAAGGCAACTCGTCCGGGTCTCGCCCCAAAGGGCCCACGCATGCCGCCTGCGACGGAGTATTGGCTGCCCGGTGACAGAACGGCTACGACGCCCATTACCTCAGCCAACCGCGCAGATTTCACGCGCCTTTTTCGACCGCGCGCGCCAGGACCAGGCGACGGACGACTGGGGCAACGCCGGGCGCCCAGACAAGAGACACCGTCGGTAGCCCGCACGTCCTCTACGCACCCCGCTGTGGGTGGGCTTCGACTCTAGTGATTGCAGCGATCAGCTGCCTGCCCCACCTCCTTTTTCTCCTGCAACCACGTCCTCCAAGTTGACCCGCTGCGACGGGGCTTCACCTAGTGTGTGCCTCTGCGGAGGTCCTCCGTTTCTTCGGCGATCAGTTGCCAGCTCTACCTTGGGTATCCCTCTGCCGCGGTCATCCATTCCGTCGCAGTGATTTGCCTATTGCTTACCTTGGGCATTACTCTGCGGCGTCTTTTCCTAGTACTTGCAGCGATCAGCTGCTTGCCTTTGGCATTCTTCGGCCGAGGCTTTCCGAGTGCTTGCAGCGATCAGTTGCCTCTTATTGGCCTCTTGTGGATCCAGTCCGGCTTGCGCGGCGCCACCTCCCCTGGGGCTTCGTTTCCGTCCGCCCCGCCACGTGGTGGCCGCGAGGGTGCATGTCGGTTGGGTGGGCGAACGCGCCCAATGTTTGCTTGTGGCACACTGCGCCCAAGGCGTCGCGCCCCCCCCTGGCAGGCTTTTGCGGGCGCCAGCCTCCGCGCGGCCACCCGCCGCTTCACCCTTGGGCTACCTGATGGGCGGCGCTCAATCGCACGGCCCTTTAGCGCCAGTCATCTTCAGCCCCCAAGTTCGCGCGCGCGCGCGGTGAGCGCGGCGGTGGTCGGGGCGGCCGACCTGAAGTCCTACCTGCACGACACGGTTGTCCCTGTCACGCGCCCTCGGGTATGCGCCGATCGCGGCTACTTGGACGACTTGCCGACGTTTACCACGTGCGGCCCACGGCTCTGCATGCGCGACAAGTTCGCTCCTTTCTACCTGGGGATGCGTCGACCGCGTCTTCTCCGACTGCCTCGGAGCGCCCATGGTGCTGCCCCTCTACCCGCGCACTTGGCCGCCGAGGGGCGCTCTCCCGCGCCCTTTTGGCTGCGTCTTCACGCTTCTTGTGCTCGCGCGCGGTGGAGTTCTACCCGTACTGCATGGTGCACCACCTCTTCCGCCGCGTCTTGGCTCCGTCGCGCCATTTTTACTGCGCCCTTCACCCGCCGCCTTCGGGGCGCTTCAAGTTCTTCTTGCTCGGCAAAGGTGACTCAAATGGTCGTCGTGCTCGTCGTCTTCGGCGCGCTCTTCCAGGAGTTGCTCGCTGGCCGGGTGGTACTGCTGCGCTTCCCTTCCGCCTGCGGGTTGCCGCTCGCCTCGTTGTTTTCCCTTTGCTACGGACCGCGGCCCGTCTGAGCGCGTTCGGCGCTCGGCTCGTCTTAGCGCGCCCGCGGACCGAATCAGCACCCCCACCAGCCCATCCAGACACGATCGCCAGGATAATTGCCGTTAGTGAGGGAAGTGTAGAAACACGAAGTGCAACAGCCGATGTGGAAACGTGATGGGGGACGCGGAGACAGAGGATGAGGAGGCGGCCTTTTTTTCACATATGTGGTTGTCATATGTTTTTGGAGGACGTTTGGGGCCCCCCTTTGGGGTATCTTGGAGCTTTCCTGAAGGGTTTCAGGGCACCCTTGTGGCTCTTCCGGGGGGGTCTGGGGTTTGGGGTCCTCTTGGGGCGGTCTTGGGGCCGCATAGCCACCAATTGGTCAACACGTTGTCTCTCCCCCCTCATCGGAGGCCAACGTCTTCAGAAACTTCAATCGCCTCCTTCGTGACGCGAAGGGCGGGTTTGGAAGAGGGACAACAATTCTTTTGACCGCGTGCTCCCAGAGTGTTGGTGGGATTTCAATAATCAGGATTGTAACTTGTAAAGAAATTTCCAGCGAAACGCCTGGACCGCCCTACCGACACGTATGGGGTGCGACAGGAACGAAGTATAAATTTGGAGCACCAATGGGGGAGGAAGAAAAGGAGGAGGAGGAGGAGGAGGAGGAGGAGGAGGAGGAGGAGGAGGAGGAGGAGGAGGGGGAGGGGGAGGGGAAGGGGGAGGGAGGAGGGAGATACGAGGAGGCAGATCGGATGAGGCGAATGGGCAACATGAGGAAAACCAGGCGGAAAAGAGGCAAGAAAGGAGTCCATCCCCTCCCCCGCATCTCCCCTCCCCCCCCCCATCCCGCAATCCTTCCCCGCGATCCGGCGTGCTGCCTGCGTGTACCACGGCCACGGCCCCAGAAGGGCGCGCAAGGCCACGGCCCCAGAACACTTCGTGCGGGTGTAGGGCACGAATGAATCGTTCCAGAGTTTTCTGGAATGTTCTGACAAGGCCGCGACGCCTGATACATGATCCAAAACCGCCAGATCTCATATATCCCCATTGCAATATGATTGCTTTCTGATGTTTGATTCTGTCTTGGCCTCGTCTCGCATGTCTGGCGAAGCTGCCCCCCCGCTGCAGTGCGCCCCCCGCGGCAGTGTGCTCAGGCCCTCTTGGAGGCGGCAAAAGGGGGGATGATGATTATAGTTTGGAGGATTTCGTGACGGCGGTCCACCGTTGACCATGATTGTCCCTCATGATGGGGCCATCGTGGCCCTTGGTCAGAAACCGTCATCATGGGCCAGATACCATCATCAGATGATGGTCTCCGGTCCATGATCAGAGGCCATCACCAGAAACCCATGATGGTCTCTGACGACCATCATGGACCATGATGGTCTCTGATGATGGCCCCGGTACTTGGCCTCGATGATGGCCCCAATGTGCCATGATGGGTCCGTTATGGTCCATCGCAACCCACAACACACTGGGAGAGATTATTATGGTCTCTCCCCGGATGTCATGGCCTGTCCTTTTCTCGTGCCCCAGTCCGCTCCCTTCGCCCGCACACCTGCCGCCGGCCAATGTTTGCGACCCCCCTCTTGGAAGGCTGGCTTTTTGTGTGTGGTTCTTCACGGGGGCCTCAGAGGGTCACAGAATTCCTTGCGGTTTGAGGGTTTCCATCGGACTTGGTCGACATGGCCGGTCGAAATTTGGACGACATCCGGCCGAAACTACGTTTACAAGAAGGCCTTGGAGGTCCACAGAGACCCCCACGAAGGCTCACCCAACACCCTTGCCCCGCTCCCGCCAGCCTTAAGTCGGGCATGTCCCTCTACAGGGGGATTTTGGACGAAGAAGAGAAAATACCCGAAGCATATTCCCAAATGCTGAAAAATATTTAAAAAACATCGTCCCCAGACAATGTGTTGACTATTTTTTCATATTGCTCTTGTGGAGGGACATGCCCGACTTAACGCCAGCCTGACCCCGCCCCGCTGCTGCGCGCGTGGCCGCGGCGTCGAGCAGTGCACCTCAGGATCGCTCCTCGGCCGAGCGCCCGGGGGCGCTGGGCGCTCGGTCGACACCTGGGCCCGCTGGCGGCCTCGCCTGCCCTCGCGCTCTCGCCGGCGGCGCGCACGAGACGCTGGCGCGAGGGGGGGGGCCGCCTCTCGGGTCGGGCGAAAGGGGGGGATTGGGAAAGGGGGGGTTACGAAATTTGCTGCATGCAGCTGGTTTCGGCCTCACCCAAGGGCCCATTCCTCGATACATTGCCGCCTCCGGCGCCGGGAGGCGCGGGGAAAATCAGCTACGTGAGCTGATTCTCAAACCCCCCCTTTGCTATCCCCCCCTTTCGCCCGACCCGAGAGGGGGGGGGGCCGCCTCCGCCTCGCGAGCCCCCCCCCCCCCCCCCGCCCGCGCGCGACGAGGCGCCGCCGCCCTGGGAGCGCCGCCCGCGCCGCAGGCGCCCGCGCCCCGGGAGCCCTGCGCGCACCCGGCTGCGCGGGGCTACTCGGGCGCAGGCGGCGCCTCCGCCGCGGTCCGCGTCGTCGTCGTCAGCGTCGACTTCCCGGGAGAGGTGTTCTGTGGCACGGTGCTCGGGGGCGGAAAAGAGGGGGGTCATGACTGGGGGGGGGTGGATATCATGGCGGGGGCCATGATTTTTCCTAAGATTTCATGGCGCCTCTTCTTGTTTCATTACGTCCCTGGCCCCCCCGCTGGGCCGCGCACATGCCGCCGGTCATGATTTGCACCCCCCCCTCTTGGACACCCCCCTCTTGGCCGCTCCCGAGGTGCGGGAGCGTCGGGGCGCAACGGGAAAGGCGATTCGCGGCGGTGACATCCGAAAAGAGTAGCATTCAGACGCGATTGGGGCTTCTCTGACGACTCTCTTCCAACGGGGCACTTCCAGCAGTGAAGAGAAATTCTCGTGTGTGTCTATGAATCTGGAGCTTGGAGGCAGGGTTTATTGCAACATCTTTGGTGCGCCTTGGGTTTACACTGCTCCACCTTCGCCTCCTCCTCCTCGTTTTCCTCCTGCTCTTCTCAGAGGAGGGAAAGGTTCCCAGACCGGTACTCTTCATTCGTTTTGCGCCATTTTGGGTCACCTCGGATGCCCTCGTCGCCAACGCTGGATTCGCCTCCAAGTTCTGGTCAGGACGCACCCTGGGAGAGGTCCGGGGAGTGGCGGTATCAGCATCCTTTGTTTTCCCCAGGTCCGCGTCGTCGACGTCATCGTCGTCTTCCGTTCTTCCTCCATTTCCTCTACAGCAACACGAAGCAAGCTGCCCACCCAATGACTTGTGCCCCAGTATCCGCGATCCGGGAAGCCCCAGCCCTTATCTGGCGCTAGTCGTCTTCTGCCAGAAACGCGACGCCCCCAAGGGTATTGTCACTCCTCCTCCTCCTCCTCCTCCTCGTCCTCCTCCTCGTCTTCCTCCTTTCGGTTCCCTGCCTTGCCCCACTTGTTCTCTCGCTTGCATGTCCTTCGCATATGCGCCGCCCGGCGCCATGGACAAAGTGGTACTGCTTGTGGTGTGCGCCCGCTGCGGGACCACACAAACACCTCCTCCTCCTCCTCCTCCTCCTCTTCCTCCTCCTCCTCCTCCTCCTCCTCCTCCTTCTCCTCATCCTCCTCCTCCTCCCCGTGAGGCGGAGCATACGCCCTCTGCTTTCCAGTCGTGGTCTCCCCACTCGACGGCGGAGACTCTCCTCTCGCCTTGCTGCACCTCTTTTCTCGCTGTTCCACGCCTTCCCGCCCCCCCACCCCTTGTGTCCGCCCACCCCACGCCCGCTGTCCCCGACGCCGTGGCGACGAGCGGCGGCCTCATCTGTAGACGTGCGCCGCGCCCCCGCCGCCCACGCAGGGGTGGGAGCTCGGACCTCGGGCGCGCTCGCCTCCTCCTCTTCGTCCTCCTGCTCCTCCTCGGGGGCAGGGTGCCTCCGCCTCGACCCCCCTTTTCCGTGTCTGAAGAGCAGGGGCCGTTCTCTGAGCGGATGCTCACCCTGTCCTTGCCCCGTGCGCCGCATTGTGTGTGTGACACTGCACGGAGTGGCCACATCACGAGGCGCAGTTCTGTCGCCCTCGCTGGCAGCCTCCTGCCTCCGCCACGCGTGTGCAGCAGCATCACTCATGCGCACCAGCCTGCACAGCGGACAGGATAGGTTCACCCTGCACCGATCCAGCGACGGGTTACGCCACTCTCTGTGCCCGTATGGTTTGGCACACTGCCCCATTCGTAGAATAACTAGCTATCCCTCCTCCTCCTCCTCCCTCTCCGTCTCCTCTCCGCCCTTCCCTCCTTCTCCTCACCCTGCCACATCCGTCAGTTCTCAGTCCTTCTCCGCCCTCCCCTCCTCCTTCCCAGTCCGCCAGGTCTCAGAGATCCCCGATTTGCACCAGTCCGACGTTGTCCGGGCCCTGGCGTCGCGTTGCGCGTGTTCTTTCTACCTCTCTTGTGGGGCCCAGGGACGAGACGATGCCGCCGCGGCCCCGCCCGCACGCCCGCGCCCCCCCTTCGTGGGGCAGCTAGCCGTTTCGGCCCACCCGGTGCTCATAGCCTCCAGAGCTGGACCACCGTCGTCGTCGTCGCCGTCGCCGTCGCCGTCGTCGTCGTCGTCGTCGTCGTCGTCGTCGTCGTCGTCGTCGTCCTTCGTCGTCTTCCTTCGTCGTCCTTCGTCGTCCTTCGTCGTCATCCTCTGTCGTCGTCGACGGCGATGGCGTCGTTATTGTCGTTCGTCCTTGTTGTCGCCGCCGCCCAGCCGCAGCGCCTGCCGGCCACCCCGCGGGAGGCGGCGCCACCCCGGGCGTGCCCCTGGCGGCCTCGCCCGCGGGGGCCTACCAGCTGGCGAGGGGCTACTCCGGCGCTGGCGGCGCCCGGCCGCCCTCTCTCGGAGGGGCCGGCTTTCCACCGTAGCTGCCATAGGTAGGACGGGGGAGAAGGGAGGATGGGGACGTCCTTCTCCTCCTCCTCCTTCTCCTCCTCCTCGACCTCCCCTTCCTCTCTCCTGTCAGGCCTTTCAGTATGGGCCCAGAGGCTCCGAGAAGACGTGGCCGTTGCGAGGTGGGGGTCGCCGCTTCCCCACCTCTCAGATGAGCGCCTTCTTGTGGGCGCCGAACTCGTCCTTCACGTGCCTCGCGAGGCGCGTTGCGACTGGGGGCCGAGTGGCCCCCAGCCCTTCGCTGCTTTGCGACTGGGTGGCCAGGTAGCTCCCAGCCCTTCTCTTCTTTCTTATCTTGTTCTCTCTTCTTCTCTTCTTTGCGACTGGGCGGACTGCGAAGCCCTCAGACCACCTCTTGCGGTGTCGCGTCGAAGTCCTCGTTGATACCTCATCGCCCGCTTGCCACGCGGGGGACGGAATGCTCGCCCTTCGGCCTCTGAGGGCTGCGAGCCTTCCGTCGAGGAGCACTGCTCTCCTCAATTCTTTGCTGGGTCCGTGCCGACGGCGAGCAGGTGCTGAGATGCCATCCTTCACTAAGCAGCCGCACGATCCCAGATCTCCATGCTTTGCGACCAGGCGGCCGTGAGACCCCCAGATCTCCATCTCTTTGCGACTGGGCGGCGGCAGCTCCCAGACCTTCTCTATCGTTGCTGCGCTGATGGCCACGGTGGCCCAGCGCCCTCCCGCATGCCGCGCGGGGGGCGGGAGGCTCGCCCTTCGGCCCCGTCGAGGAGCATGCTCTCCTCCTCGCTTCTCTGGAACCGGTCGGTGGTAAGGGTGCCCTGGGATCGCGTCGTTTGCGTCGCGCCCGGCCATCATGACATCTTCTGTGTGTTTGTTGTGTTTTGTTGTGTTTGGTTGTGTTTTGTTCCACAGACTGTGTTTTGTTTTTTTTTTTTGTGTGTGCGTGTGTTATTTCCCACAGATCCTCGTATGGCCGCCGGTCAACTCCCGCCCTCGAGGCTCCAGCTCCACGTGGCGACTCGAGCCTGAGGTGTTCCCTCGCATGCGGGGCTTCCTCAGGACTCTGCGTCCTATCGCCTCCAGCACGACGTGGCGACATCGAGCACGCGTTTCTCCTCCTCCTCCTCCTCCGCCTCCGCCTCCTCCTCCTCCTCCTCCTCCTCCTCCTCCTACTCCTCCTCCTCCTCCTCCTCCTCCTCCCCCTCCTTTGAAAGGCATCGAGGGTGTTCCCTCCCGCGGGGGCTTCCTCAGGACTTTGGGCCTCGATCCCGTCGATGCAGACCGCGGCGTTGCTGTCGAGCCTGTCCCGCCGTCGCTCCGAGGCGTGGGGAGTTCGAGAGGCTCGCCCTTCGGCCCTTCTGGTCTGAGAGTGTCTCGTCGGTGATCTTGGTGTGCAGGTTGTCGGCGAAGCACTCACTGGGATCATGTCGTCGTAGGCGTCGCACGTTGCAAACACGTCATCCCCATCTGGCGATGGTCATCATGTCGAGGATTTCGGCGGTCACTAGGTCGATGTCATCGGCACTTGCCTCCTTCCGCGTGATGGTCTGATGATAGCGTATGCACGGCAACGAACGGGATCTTGAGTTCGGTCTCGTTGTGTATTATAGAGATGACTTCCCTGGTCACGGTTTTGGCGTTGTGGAGATTGTTGGCGGTCTTCTCAGGGATGCCAGCTCTTCCCCAGCGCGCGTCAAGTGTGCGGCTCTTGATTACCTGATAGGCTGCGATCTCTGCCGAGTTGTAGAGGTACCATGTGCGTCTCGGGACCTCGGCGTATACTGTTGCAATCTTGCCTTGCTGCATCTTGGCGCGGACTTGGAATGGGCCGTCTTGTGATACAGTATGTTCTCGATAATTGTTGGTATCGAGAGTAATGTAGTCCATTCCGCTCGTAAATGTGATCCTGCTATAGGCCATGATCTGCTGGAGGTCCCATGGCTTTCTCGGTCGGTCTGTGGGGGATACGATGGCTTCTCGGTCTGCTGAGTCGGGACACATTGTCGTGTTAGGCTGGGTTCTCGGCCCGTATTGTCGCGCAGACCTTCGACGCGTCGGGTGAGGTGTCCAGCATCGGTAGCGGCGTAATGTCCGTCTTGAAGGCGGGGGCTTCGCTGTAGGTTGCTGTCGTAGTGATGGCCTCTAGGTTGTCCTTGATCTGCTGCTCTGTCGAGGGCTCTTGCGTCATGCGTTGCCATGCGTACCAGGATTTGCGGCATCGGTGAGCTAGGGTCAGATGCTTGACGAGGCGGGAGAAGTTGTGGAAGTCCGTCTGGAAGCACCGACACGCCGTGCTTGTTGCCCAGAGACGTGGATTCGTGATTTCTTTGTGTTCCCTTCCCATGTGCACTGACATGCCCAGCTTCGTGCTCGTAATCCGCCCACTGACGTAGCAAGTGAAGTTCTTGAGGATGGCTTCGTCGGAAGTCGCTGTGCATGGAGTGGCGGCGGGCATCTTGAGGTCCTTGGTGAGCTTCTCGTGCTGGGCTTGGTCGCTGGTGTGACGGATGTAGTCCTGAATCGCAGTTTTGACGGCGTTGGTGAATTCCTTTAGACGCTTCCTTGCCCATGCGGTGATGTCGCAGTCCTGCCTTCATTTATCTGGCCACCTGTCGGGGTACATGCGCTTGCGGAGGAAGACGAAGTCGTGTTTCAGATGGTGGCTCCAGGAACCTTTCCGCTGACGCTGGCCGTCGAGAAGCTGAAGTAAGACCGCTGGTCCGTATTGCAGCAAACGAGGTAGGTAGCGTAGTCGTGCTGCGGTCTGGCGGGTGTCAAGGTCGGTCTCCTTCTCTCCTCCTGCGCCTCTTCCTCCTCCTCCTCCATCTTCCCCTCCTCCTCCTCCATCTCCTCCTCCTCCTCCTCCTGCTCCCTCTCCCACCTGTGGTGCAACAGTATCCTTCACAGACCGCCAACATGAGGCGCTGCAGAGAGGGCCTCGCCCTCGAGGGCCGAAGGAGATGGCATCTCTTCCTCAAAGCCAGGGCGGCGGAAGCTCGGCGGAGGCCGGCGGAAGTAGACCGAAGCCGTACTCCGCCGGCGGAACTCAGCCTCGGCGGAACCCTCAGAGGAGTGGGCCAGAGCCCCGAGTCATCAGGGGTAACTCGGGTCAGGGATAACTCGGGTTCGTTTTCTCGGGAATCCGAACCCGAGTTACCCCGGACCCGAGTTACCCTGGATATCTGGGGCGTCCAGAGCCCCAGAATCATCAGGGGTAACTCGGGTCAGGGCTAACTCGGGTTCCTTTTCTGGGAATCCAAACCCGAGTTACCCCGGACCCGAGTTATCCCGGATAACTCGGGCGCCCAAGAGGAGTGGGCCTCGAGTGCAGGGTCATGTGGGCAGGATGTGCTCTGGTCGGTCTCCCACCCCTTCCTCTGTGTGCCCCTCCTGCCCTGCTGCAGCCTGGTGCTGGTGAGAATGGTGCAGCGCCGCTGTCCCCGTCATTTCTAGTGAGCCCGTCGTAAGACATCCAGCATCCGCATGTTTGTTTTAGGGTACAGCGTGGTTAAAGAAAGGAAGGCCAGCGGAAGCTAGCTGAAAATATGCGCCCCAAGAGATGGCATTCTTTGGGGGGTTCAGGGTTTCCGGAACCCGCCACATGGGGTCCTGGCAGATGGGGGCGGAGGATCGCGTCGCATGGCCGATGCATCAGCGATGTGGCTCGATTTTTGGAGCCCGAATTGCCCCACGCCGACGTCGCCGATGCAGCGGCGATACATGTGCGATGCGGCGCGACCCTCCGACCCCATCTACTCGGACCACATGTGGTAGACCTCCATCATCCTTTCTCCTCCGACGCCGCGCGTTTTGCCTTTGCGCCGTGGCCCTCGGAACTTCGACCTCTTCCTCAGGGCCCGATATTCATGCTGAGCCTTTCTGTTGACGGTCCATGTGCCCGGGAACGTTCTTCGGGAAACGAAACCTACGTACGATAATTGCCGTCCTGTTTGTTTGTTGCGTCGCCCGGATCTGCGGGTTTTTCTTCGCCATGTTAGGACAAAGTCCGGAGAGAAACGTGTGATGACGAACATTGGTTTTGCGACCGTTTTCAGGGTATCGGGGCCCTCCCCCAGGCACCCGAGGTTCGAGAGGAAAGCAGCCCAGGATGAGAAGTGTGTCCTAAAAGATGATCTCGGGGTCCAAGACCTGTGTCCCTTAGAAACTTTATTTTTAGTCATACTCCGAATTATTCCCGCCAGCACTTGCAAACCTTATCCACAGACGCTGGGGTATCGGACACCTACCCTTGGCTGGCCCGTCGGGTTCACTCGGTTGCAAGCACCTTTTGAATTCGGAGCCCACGACAGTGTTTCACAAAGCCGGGTTTCACATGCGATTGCCGAATACAGATACAAATTCACACATATGCATCTACGGGCCCGAGGCCCGAGAAGCGATTTATCCGAGGTCCAGAACGTGGCAAGTTGGCAGCCACTAGATTCGTGTTGCCACGTCTAATGTGTTGGCCACGCCTATATTTCGTCGCGGACACCTCGCGACGTGGTGCACGACGTGACCAGAGTTACCCCGACGTGCGAAAAGTCACGTGCCAGATGTGTCCGCGAGGGTTCCGCAGGCCCCGTCATCTGCCTTGGATGCCGTGGTGGCCTCCCTGGGGAGCTTAGGGGACATTCCCCAGACGACATGTTCGGGAGCAAATCTTGCTGGTGGGTGTTTCGTCATGTTCGTCCTCCGGGGGCGCTCGCCAGGCCCAGGGACCGTCAGAAAATTACTCGGGATGAAGAACCAGCCCCAGTGAATGGGTCGAGTGCTCCGGGGACATCGCTCCAGTAGGAGATCGACAGCATACTGGAATCACTCCATCATTGTGTTTTTCGACGAACCGACAGCAAATAAGCTTACTCTTGGTCGGTATACGCGCGTTCTACATGTGTTTTGTGGGTTCGGCGGATCAAGAGCCATTCGAAGGACATCGATTCTGTAGTCGATCTCTTGCTAGATGGGTTCGAGCCACGGTCACATTTGGCAACACCCCAGACTTGGGCCCAAACGTCGGGCGAGGACTACGTGGGACGCCCAGATCTCCGGGAACTTGAGCGGCTCTCGGACACACGAATCGACACGGCCAACGCCCAGAACTCTGGGGACGAGCAGCTCGGCACGAATCGCCACGTCAAGCAGTCGTTCATCCCGAAAAGCACGAGCCCAGCGACGCCGCTTTCAAGGGATCGGAGCGGCTCGCAGGCAGACGGCCACCCAGGGCTCGCGGGCGCCCAGCAACCACAAGCGCCAAATCTGACGGGAGAGGGAGATTCCCAGACATCATTTCTTCCGTACGCCCCCGCCCCCGACGTCCCGACCCGACCTTTCCCCAAGGGGCGACTTTGCTCCCGAGTCGGTCGGTGTACCGTCATGGGCTGGGATCCGGCGAGCGCCCTCGGCCGTAGATGACGAAAGAAACTGGGAGCCCAGAGCTCCGAAGATGCGCTCCAGATGTCACGACCCGTCCTCGGGGGTTGCCTTTCTTCGGGTAGGAGATCGACTACAGCATTGATGTACCCCACACTTGAGTTGGCTCCTCCGCGGGCTCGGCCCGCCTCGCCGCCGCCAGGCGCCGCGACGCCCGGCGCCGCATCCCCGGCGCCGCCACGCGGCCTCTCGTCGGCGGGCGGCTTCTCCTCGCCGCTCGCGGGAGGCGCCGACTCGCTGGGGGGGGACTGGATCGGACGCTCCTCGGCGGGGGTCTCCTCGATCCGCCTCCCCCTCCGCCCTCCTCCTTCCTCCCTCCTCCTCCTTCTCCCTCCTCTTCGTCCTCATGCTCCCTCCCTCCTCCTTCCTCCTCGCTCTATTAGCTGAGCACACCTTCGTGTCCATGCCACCTCCCCACCCCCTCTTCGTTCGCCCTGACATGCGAGAAACAGCTCGACGTGTCAATGGACCCGCTGGGCATGTCGTGGTGGACGGCAGTGAGCAGGGGATTGCAGGGGAACCCAGGGAGCCACTGGGGCAAGCTGCGCGCGGCGACACTATTTGCAGAAGTGCCATGCCTTCTGTGAAGTGAATAGTGTCATTGCTGATCGGCAAGCATGCATGCTAATGTGTTGACCTTTGCAGTGCCCATTTGGGCTCAATCCTTTTTTTCAGGGCTTTCGAGCTTGGGCGTATCGGGAGGTACCTTTGCAGGTTCCGCTAGGCAACCATCTATCGCCATCCATTGCGGATAAACTGTGTATCACTGCAGGTTCGTAGAGGAAGACAAAGGACTGGTGCAGGTTCGTAGAGGAAGACATCGCGCCGGCGACCATTCTGGCAAAGAAGAGTAGGGCCCCCATGTACATCACGGGCTCCAGATGGGGAAGCTGGAATCGCCCTCTGCTGCATCTCGGGCGGGCCGAGGGAAGATGGACCCGAGGTCGCTCCCGTTGACCTGAGAGGGCGCGGCGCTCCTCTCGTGCTTTGCGCAGCGACTTGAGGATGCCCGCGTCCCTCCTCAACCGTGGTGGACACGTGGCGGGACACACCATCATCCTGCCATCATCCTTCAACGTGCCTGTGAAGACGGACCATCATCAAGGAGTCCTACAAGGAGCACTGGCGGGAGGCGGCTGCCAAGCAGTGGAGCGAGCGGCAGAAGCACAGCTCTTGCCGAGCGTTCTCCATCGAGGAGTCCGAGGCGGTCAGGGACAGGGTCAAGGCCCACCTCATTCTGCCCAGCCGGTTCGTGTACCGGGACAAGAACGCGCCGCTGAGGACCGACAAACGCCCGTTGTCGGTCAAGGCAAAGGCCAGGCTTCGCGTCGGAGGTCATATGGGCCTGCGCCTGGCCCAGGGTGACTTGCGCACGGGCGCGTCTACGGTCACCCACTCTACCGTGCTTTTCTTTACTCTTTGCCAGGGGTTCGATCTGGAGATCTACGAGGCAGACGTGGAGGAGGCTAGCATGCCAGTCTACGAGGAGCCCGACAAGCAACTCTTCATGGCGCAGCCCCGCGCGGGCCAACCTAGACTACGCCCGAAACAGGTGATCAAGATCCTGAAGGGAGTTTTCGGGGTAGCAACGGCGCCAAGGCGGTGGTGGGCGAAGCCATAGAGAAATTCGCTTGCGGTGGAGGAGAACATACGGGATAAGTTCGTGTTCCGCCTGCGCCAGCGCTGTACTACGGCTACGACAAGCTCGGGGAATTGTGCGAGGTGGTAATCGCTCACGTGGACGATCTGCTGCCAGGCACTTCGCCCAAGTATCCGCCCCTGTACGACAGGTTCTACAAGCTACTGCCGTGGGGCGACTGGAGAGGCTTACCTCTCTCATTCTGTGGTAAGCAGGCGTGGCGCGACGACGAGGGCGTTCTACATTTACGACCGACAGAGCACGCGAACACCATCGAGGAGATCGCGCTCAGCAAGGAGCGCAAGACGGAATTGTCGAAGGGTGCGACGGCCGCCGGGTTTCGCACAATCGCTCCGCTCTCGGAGCGCCAGGGTGGCTCTCATCACAGACTCGACCAGATCTGGCCGCTGGAGTGGCCATGGGGCAACGCACGCAGCCCACTATGCAGGATTTTCTCGAGACAAATCGGCTCATCAAGCTGGCGCGGAAGCATGCGGACGTCGGACTAGAGATTTTGAAGTTTCGTGGACCGTTTTGCCTGGTCACTTACCGCGACGCCAGCTGGGCCAACGCGGACGAGCCGGCTGAGGGTGCCATATCCAAGTTTCTCTCCATACTGGTGGGATCAAGCAGCATGGGCAGCAACATCAAAATTCGCTCGCAGGCACGCTACGTGACGTTCCTCGCAAAATATAAGTTGTCACGCGAAGATCGAGCCTGAGCAGGGATCGTAGATCGGAGATCGGGCACCATCAAGCGAGTCTGCAGATCTACTCTGGCAGCTGAAACGATGTCAGCGGTAGACGCTCTAGGCTGTGGTCAGATTACACGCTGTGTTTCCGCTTCGCTGGAGATACCAGGTGCCCTCCCTGAGGACATCCCGCCGAGTTTGCTGCCGCTGCTGAGGTTACATATTGCGCTAGCCTGTACGATGCGATGCACAAAGACGGTTGCTCCAAGCTCCCGTCAGAGCGGCGCCTTCTGCTAGACCTAGTAGGTCCCAAGCAGTCCGTCAAGGAAGAGGTCAGCAAAGAATTCGCTGCCGACGATCAGCGCAGCCAGCTGCCTCTCTTTTGGGTTCCTACGGACCAGCAGCTCGGTGATCAGTTCACCAAGCGAGCGGGTGGCAGCGTCGTCAGGGCAGTGCTGCGAGACACCCGCCTCGCACTGCAGCATCAGATGCCGACGCACCAGGCCAGAGAGCACGAAGCACACATCAACAGTGCCGGCGCGATACTCAAGCGCGCCATGCGCCTGGTTGCATCTTCCCTGGTGGACGTGCGATTTACGCGTTGAAATGATATACGCCGGCATATGCAGATATCATTAGAATGTTGCACGAGTGTGAAATCGGTAGTGTCCGTGTTGGTATGTTAGCATGCGTGCTAATGTGCTGACCTTTGCCTTGCTCATGTGGGCTGATTTTTTTGTCAGGGACCTTGAGTGGGCGTATCGGAGGTACTTTAGCAGGCTCCGCATATTAACCATCTATCGCCATCCATTGCGGGTAACATGTGTATCACTGCTGATATACAACCTCGCAGACATCATTGGCCCCTCTTCGCAGTATTGGGCCTGCAACCTCCGAGGGTCAGGCATTGAGGAGGTGCTCGAGCTCGGGCGTTCAGCGGCCCGGGCGGCGCCGAGCCTCCAAGACGGCTCCGAGGAAAGCAACTGACGGGCCCCGCGGGGGGCCCGCCAGCTCGGATACGGGCCTTGCCGATCCCGGTTCCGCCTCCGTTCTCATCCTGTGGCCCCTCCTCTCCCTCCTCACACCCCCCTCGTTCTCACCGTCCTCGTCCCCGTCCTCCCCCTTGTCATCGAACTTTGTTCGACGCAGCCCTTCTTCTGAATTTGCGGCGATAATTCAGGATGCAGGTTGTCCTTGCCGCCCTTCGCCGCGTATTGCGGGATGGCATCGGAAGAAAGATGGGGAAACTACATAACCATGAGCGTTTGGAGCCCGCCTCGGGTGTTTATGGGTCGGCGCCAGTCTCCCCTGGGCCCATGGCGTCGCTTGGTCGCCTCCCGTTGCGCTCCGCGCGCCGCGGGGGGGTCCAGCGTGGATCCAAGAAATCTGCGGGGTCCTCGGAATGCTGATGCTGCGATTCCCCAAACGATGCGTACATTTAGAAGTTGTTAGTTCGCTTCTGAAGAAATAGCCTTGGATATCGGTCTGGATGTTCCGTGCTCGCCTTCGCGCCCTGTCGCCGTCTCGTCGCCGCCCGTCGCCGTCCGGCGTCTGGGCCTGGGTGGCGGTCTTGCGATTCCGTGCTCGCCGCCGCCGCCCCGTCGTCGCCGTCGCCGCCCCGTCGCCGCTTCTCATAGATTGCACAACGTTTTTGGGGGCACATGGGTAGCACGCCGTAGTTCGCACCGCATATATGGATTGCACCACATCGATTGCACATCATAGATCGCCCCGCATAGTTCGCACCACGTGGAATGAATCACGTATATTGCATATCATAGATCGCACTGCATGCTGTGCGCCCCGCAGGGTGCACAACACATATTGCACAGCATACAATGTCCGAAGTTGACGGGTCAAAATAGATTGAGCCACGTCGATTGCACAACACACGACATATGGCACATATTTTACAACATAGATGGCACAACGTAGATCGCACCACAGGTAGCACTTCATAGACTGCACCGTGTGTTCTGCACCACATGGACTGCACCGCGTATATGGGTCAACATAGAACGCGCGCCATAGATGGCTAGAAACAGCCTATTTGGTGTCCACGCTAAGTAAGGTCTCTTTTGCAAGCAGAGGGGGGATAGGATACAAACTGCACCGTCACGAGTACTGTTCAAGGCTGCTTTCCGCTTAGAGTCGAAAGGGGTTCGGGGATGCTTCCCCGAGAGGGCAGCCAAACGCACCCGCATCGAGGACGTACGCTTCTGATTGTCTATCCCCAGATTCGTCGCCATTACATGTCCGCAGTTCAAACCCGCGCAAAAGCTGAGACTCGGGTCGCCAGTGCCTCGTAATATTCCGTGGCGTGTGCATTGAATCCCACAACGCGCAGGAAGGTGCAGGAATTTGGCAGGAAAATGTCACTTGCATGTGTTGATGGAGATCCCCTTTCACTGAACACCCATCAGTATGGCCCCGAAAAGGAACAAACACCGATACCTGTGCTCGTCCTGGAGAGCCATCGTCGCCACGGCCCGAATCTTTTCGGAAACCTGGTCGGAACGCACCCTGGATGAGGTGTAATATCAAGGCTCGTTTCGAAAGAGCGGGATTCGTGCGCACATTCTGGGGGCGTTCCAGGCGAGAGTGCGGTTCCTGAGCTGCGAGTCTGGGAGTCTCGACTCAGTTGAGGGCCTTCCGGCGAGAGCGCGATTCTGTTGTAGCCCACAGGCTAGCCCATCGTGCAAATCTCTGTTGAGGTCCGACGCACAGCTTGAAGGGAGAATCGGCTACAGGACAACACGTTAATAGACAGTCTTGCAAGATGTGTATGTGTATGTATGTATGTTTTGTTCACATAGAATTTGGTCTGGTTCGTAGATTGGTGCCGCGCTGTTTCACCATTTTTGTTAAGGGCTAATGAAGAATCCCCCCGACATAA